AAATTGTGCAAATTTAAGTTAAAACTTGAAACGCAAGGACTTGTGAGGAGACCTAAAGATACACTCTGGCCCTGAACGTTCATCTAAAAAAGAGAGCAGTGACGCCTCTTCAGTTACCTGTTGATTAAAATGTGCTTGCTTTATGATTGAGATCAACCAAACTTTAGATTGTGATCTATCTATTTGACATGTGACATGTGACTGGTCTAACAGGTGTCCACACTTTAAACTTTGCCCCTGCAGCCATGTGTTTGTAATGAGACAGACCAGGCAGTAATCAGGACAGTCCTGTATGTGAAGTCACATAGTACTTGAAATTAGAGCTCTGTTGTGACTGACTGTGCAGCTTTTGGACAAATATTTATTGGTCATATTTTTCTATAGCGTTTTTCCACCTTCAAGGGGTTCAGCAAGAAATCATTCACCCATTCACATGCACATTCATACACCAGTGTACTCAGACACTAGAATTGCACCATCAACCTGTGGGTCAGTGGATCTGACTGCTCAAACAATCATGTTTATGTCGAAAGTAGGATTCGAATTGCCAGCCTTCGGATCAGTGAACAAATATTCACCAACAGAGCTACTGTCGCCCTTTTTACAAATCAAATATTGATAAATTATAAAGAATTACCTGACAAACCAACTGCAGTGATGAGGAAGAAGCACTTATACATTCAAGGTTTCTAAGAGCACAACCTGTTGGTTTGTTATTGTTCACATACATGCTCTAATGAAGCAAGGTGGGGGCCGTCATTTACATGCATCTGTGCTACAGCAGAAGCCCATCTCATCATGGACCACATTTACAGGCAGATCACATACACCTGCTTTTTATCTGGGATGGTTTATCTGACATGGCATATCATCTTGACGTTGACATATGGTCATTAAGGTATTGGGGTGACTCCGTAAGTCTTACAATGAAACATACAATGATAATGAATGTTGAAAAAATTGGGGGCTTTGGTGCAATTGACTGACAAGTGAAACATAAATGAATACATGAATGTATGATGAGTTATTGCATAGGGAGTCACAACAGCTGCCTTTCTACTGTTTTGGGAATCAAAATGTGAAATCTATTTTTATTCCAGAGCAGTAGGAAGTTTGCTTGGGATCCAGAATACACACTTCTCTTATATTTTATACAGGTCACTCATTGGATCTCTCTTCAGATAAGCATGAGTGACAGGTGGATTAGTCAGTTAGGGATAAACATGGTCAGTTAAAACAATATGGCTGCTCAAAAGGAAAAATATAGGGAAAAAATCTCACATAGGACTGGAAAAAATAGAAGTACTAAAGTCAGACTTAGCTCCTATTTTATGCCATTGGGGGATGTTTTTAACTAAACTTAACCAACTGGACTTACTCAGCTTTTAAAGCTGCTGTTTTGCAACCAAGCAGGTAGCTTCATCAGGGCTTGTGACTGTGACTCCCACTTCCAACTACAACAATGTTCCAGCACCTGGCTGGGGGATGCCTACAAAATACAATGACGTTGCAGTGGTTTGCTGGGTCTTTCCCCTTACAGCCTGTAAAGTGAGTTTGCATAACGCCTTGCCTTTAATTTGAATGGCACATTTTTCACACTATCTATTTCTCTGGAACAGCAATGGCATAGTAAAATATGATTAGCAAGCCGACTACATCGGAAATAAGAGTGAATTATATTTTCTGTTCCATAAGCCAGATGGGTTCAATTGAAAAGGCTTTGAAACATGAGGTTGATGACAACTGATGAATCAAACAAGAGTAGGAATATCTAATCTTATTCATCATGGCGTCCACTCATTGAAATGCCGTTCCACCACTCAGCTTCACCACACTCCCAGAGCTCTGTCTGTGTATTGATCATGTATTTTCTCTTGCTTTTTGCCAAAATCAACATCATTAAAGGCTTTCCGTAACACTGGTCCAGCCCCTGTCAGAGCTCATCAAATGCTAGCATAGGAGCATCATGTGTTTTGGTACAATACAACTTTATTTGTTTGATTTAAATTAACCTCTTGGCTATTATTTGTATAGGTCCTATTAGAACATGACTGTTAATAAATGCTATACACATTTAATTAGGTAAATCCATTTGACATGCTTGTAAAATGCTTCCAGACAAAAGTGGAAAGTAGAATTAGAGTACCACACATCTGTAAAAGCAGAGTGTCTCCTGTCTCTATAATGAGTATGAACCTTAGAAGCAACATTCTCCACTTAGTGCCTCAGTGCCTCCTCCTGCTGGGCCCCTCACACTGCTGATGGAAGCTTACATAATTCCAGCGCTGTGCCTCTATTCTAGTACAACAGGTGTCAGTATCACTTACTATATAAAATAAATAATGAAAAAAAAAAAATCCTCATCAACATAATACATAATTATAGCAACAACTAAACTAACAGTATAAAATGGAGGTGTGACAAACATTGTTAACGCAGGTGCTGCACTACATCTGAACTGTGAACTCTGAAATACATGACAGCAAACTTACCTCATAACAACTGTGAAACATGACAATGAGTCTTAGTTGCAATGGATTAAAAACATTGTGGAGCAAACGAGAGAAGACAAGAGTTTTGGACATGTAACCCAAATGATCCCAAATGATCTATTATTATGAGTATTCCATACTATTAAGCACCACTACAAGCAGAGCACTGGCTGCTTGAGCCACAAATGACAAAGTCATGGCTCAAAGGGCCAAAAATGGGCAATTGAGCACCTGATGGAGGTGCCTGTTGGTGCGTAGTGGTAGAATGTTCCATACACTTGCTATTGGGGAGTGAGTACGAGGAGGACCTCAGAGTATCAAAATAGAAACTGAAACTAATTAAACATGTTATGTTGTTTTGAGGCAATTATAGCATTTAATCATAATCATAACAACAACATAAAATAAGGGTAACATTGTGATCTAAATATGTTATGTGCTAACAATTAATACCCTACAGAAATGTATACCCTTCTTTAAGTTGTGCAGAAGCTCATACACATTTACAGAGCCTGTAACAGTTGCTGTAACAGGATTTGAACATGGCTGTCAGGGCGTCAGAGGCTCTTCAAAGCATAGGCTCGCAGAGAGTACCACAGCAGTGATTGTCTCGGGGCGAGTCAGTAGTATTATTACCCCTGCTCCAAACTATGTAGATCTTTAACATCGTGTTTTCCAATAAGGCATATATCCTAATTTATCTGTATTAATTGTAAATGTGTTGCATTATTCGCCTCACATCGGGACTGTAGGTGTGTGTTCTAATCTGGGGCTAATCCTTGCTTTGACAAATGAAGTCATGGGCTCACTGTGTTTTAAATTAAGCACAGGTCAAACACATGAATTATGCACTGCTTTGCTCATTTCCCTGCACCAGTTAAACTTTTATAAGGGCCCTACGATTCCGAGCCCTAAATTCAAACATGTGGATAATCAGAGCATTGTGGGTTTATTTGTTTTTCAAACTTTCAGTCTAGCATATCTCTGCACTCTGGAGTAATTATCCTCACCCATCTCCTGCTGTATGGAATGCAGTTTTATTAAAACCAAATATACACTTGCACTGAGGATAAAGTAGATTAAAACGTATTTTCTCACCAACAAGTCAGTGTAAGAATAAAGTATTGTTCCAGTCTGAATTCAAGAAATCTTTTGTGGAACATAGAAGTTCAATTAAAGATTTTCTAATATATTAATAGTGGGTTGTATTATGTCATGGTTAGCTTGTAAACCATATCAAATCATATCTGACTGGTTCTGACAGCCAAATCAAACCAGACTTGTGGCTCTGTTCTTGCACCCTCATAATACTGAATACAAATAAGACGTGTTATACATCACAAGAGACTGTTCACATTTCCTAATGAATTCCTTATACTTCATTAAAGGGCATTTCAAAATTAAAACCATGCCATATTTACATGGCATAAAAATTGTGCTAGAACATATTGTTACAGTTTATTCCAAAAGGGTTGGTAAGTGGCCTAATAGAGGCACGTCTTTGCAGCCCACATGTGGTCTGTACATGTTCTATTTTCATATAATAGAAAAAGTCATTTCAATAAAAAAAAAAAATGTCTCTTGTTATGATATTAGAACTATGACCCATCGTGCAAGTATAGCATAAAAAATCCCATAACTAATCCACCACACACGCCCTTCAATGCATCACTGACACACCAATCTGTCAAGGAGAGCACCAAACTGAATCAGTCCAATTTCATTATTATTTCCATCTCATTTTTGTCTTTCTCTCCTGATTGCACTTTTGTCATTAAAATCCATTAATTATATGGTACCTTGGCCTTCAAGCCATTTCTAAACCAGCCAGATCGAAAGCATGACCATAACTTTCAAGAACACAGGAGATTTTTTTCTCTTCTATGTATGTTTTGCTTGAAATATATATAAACATGTTATCAATGTTGTGTATTTTGAAATTTGTCATCTGTTGATAAAATATGCTGTATAAATTAAATGGACTTGGATTTATTATGGTGAGGCAGCACATGGCACTTGTGCTGACACAGCCTCCTGACTTCTGTGACTGTTGTAGACTCATGGACACTGATAATGAGCCTTAAATGGTGAAAGGTCAAAGGTGAAAGGACAAGCTAATTAGCCTCTTTCCAAGGATGTACTGACCTTTGTGTGATATGGCTAATGAACCATCTGCACATCACAGCAATAACACTAGTGACAAAAGAGATACAATCATATATGGTTGGTTAACTGGTTTTGTTGTGGCAACTCAGAGTTTACTACAGTTTACTGGAATATGGAGGCACTGGAGGAACAAGATGATATTTGGATGTTCTGTTTACAAAGCTGACTATTGGCCCGGACTAACTTCAGCATACTGTGAACACACCATAATCCACAGTCACAGTCTCCTTTTTTAAAATTTTGTCCCAGCTTTATTCATGGTCTGTGAGCTCAAAAAGTGGGAAGTGCAAACATTTTAGTTTTTACAAAGTAATTTAAGAAAATAAACAAGAACATGCTTCCTCAAGGCTATGTTATATATTTATGCAATGTGAGGTATAATTTGCCTTACAAAATGATCATAAACAGACTTCACTCTTGTCATACAGACACTTGGATGGCTATGGATATAGATATAAAGAAAACATTTATTTAAAATCACATCAACAATGTCTTTAAACAAAACTAAATGCCTTTTCAATGTTACACTCCAAAACACTATGAAACAGTGTCATATATGGAGCACCACTAGCCACTGGTAACACAATACATGATATCACAACAGGTTTATTCTACTTCAAACGCTTTATGTCTTACAGCAGGATAGAACAAATGTGTAATCAAAAACACTTTACAAAAGATTCACAGTAATTGACTCCAAAACACATGCTGTTTTTAATTATTTTATATCTTTATACACATGTTTATGAATGTGGAGGTAGCTACGTTAATCTACAACTAGGATTAAAAATGTATATGTTGACGTCACATGTTTCAGTTCTGTGTAGTTTTAATGTGTCTGATCAGTTTATAACCATCATATATTTGCCTGTGTGTTCACATATACTCACTCATATAAGGGTGGTGTTAAAAAAATGTCTAAAACATTGTGTGTTTAGCACTAAATCTTACATCAATACAGTCAGTATCAAGCAATTATCCAACCAGACAAAAATACTTAGTAAGAGTAAAAAATAAACAGTAAATCACTTTTTTTGTGAGTACATCCATTTTCTTGCAGTGACAGGCCAACTGCTTTTCTTCTTTCTTTAGCTGAGCTTGTTGTTGTTTTTACTATAATTGTGACAAGTGAAATGATTGTGCTCTCATCATCCCAAGACCATTTCATATGTTGTTCTTTCATATGCCCAGCTGAATTTACAAATAATATCAATGGCATCTAAATATATTGTTATGTATGTATGGCACAACTTCTTCTGTGGAGAGTCTGTTACCTACTTGTCTCCATGGAGTTGTTATTGCTTTGACTGGAATGTTCCATGGTATGACATTAAACATATCTATCTAGCATTTATTCATCAGGAGTGTTTCTATAGCTCAAAAATGCTATAATTTCTTTTATGAATAGGGGTGACTCTCCACAGATCTGAACTGTAATGTAGTGTAGTGCTGTAACTTACCTGTCACTCTTGTGATAGCTAGGTTTAATCTATACTGTGGAACATTCTAGACAAAGCAATAACATTTCCATGGAAACAAACAGGTGATGGACCTTCCACTAGAAAAGCACCTTTAAAAGGGGCAAACTTACACAAAGTGGCTCATTCTCCTTTCACTATACCTGTTAGTAAGTGTCACTGTTGGTTCACTGGTGCAACTTTGCACCTCTCCAAACTGCTCACAACTGGTTGAGGTGTTAAACCCAAAGACACAACAACAGTGGAGGGGTGCAAGTGAGGTTCAAACCATCGACCTTTGATGGTATTTGTGATGGCCACTCTTCCATCTGAGCCTTTAGCTGAAGAAGTGGAGTGCATAGTTTCACCTGGTCTCAGACAGGCTCTTGAGGCTGATGTACAGAGAGCTCACCATGGTCGCCTCATCCTGGATGGGCTCTTTGTTTTCGTGGGCCTGGGACACACATACAAGGGTCAGCAGTCTCTTTGGGAGGGTTCCACTGAACAGCAGGTAGATGCAGGGGTTGGCACAGCTGTTTAGGCTTGACAGCAACATGAGGATGGTGAAGGTGGCAGCTGTAAATCACAAAACACTTGAGTTGGTCTGATGTCACCAATAATGAGCATTTCATTGTTCCAGGTTCAAGAGGTGGAAGCAAAGGGACTTTCTTCATTTAAATATGAAAACGTGCATACAGAAAAAGAACATAGCATAAAGTAACTTTTTAAATATTTTTAAAGGTTTTCAAAGTCACACGCATTGCAATAGGCTAAAATAAAATTTGCACAATAAATATCATTTAATAAAATTTTATTAATAGTTAAATTATTAGGACAGTTTGAGGCACTGATTTCAAGATACATGTGACAAAGAATCATAGAGGCTCTTACAATGAGTCGGTGCTTGTGCGTCCCACACGGACCACAGCTGCACGGTGAAGAAGGGCGTCCAGCACAGCACGTAGGCCAGCACTATCACCACGGTCATCTTCAGGGTCTTCACTCTGGCCTTGGACATTCCGGCCACGCTGCTGGCCCTGGAGGTCATGTGGTGCATCTTCGTGTGAAAGTTGATGTGCACTGTGCGGCAGATGCGCACCTGGCAGCAGATCACCGTGAAGATGGGCAGTACAAAAATGACAAGAGTAGTCCATGTCACATAAGCTTTGAGCCCCCACGGTTGCACAAACTGACCCCAACAGTCATATACGCCCGGGGCCACTTCCACGCGCGAAAAAATGAAAATCTGAGGAAGGCTGCCAACGAAAGAAACGCACCACGCTGCGCACACGGGGCCGTTCCATCTGGCTGCGCGCCGCTGGAAAGTCACCATAGGTTTGCAGATGGCTTGATAGCGATCCACGGTCATTACCACGATCATATAAGTGGACGCAAACATGCCTACGACCTGTAAATACTTCACCATGCGGCACAGCACGTCAGGACCCACAAACCGGTCCGTAATGTCCCACATAAGCTGCGGGCACACCTGGAAGAAAGTCACCACCAGATCCGCGACGCACAGGTGGAACACAAACACGCGCATACGAGACAACTGCTTTCTCCGTCGCCACAGCACCAACAAGAGCCCTGCGTTCAGGACCCCCGCAGTCACGAAAATGATAGCCAGAAGCGCAATCTCCACGCGGGCCAAGTACTCGTCGCGCGGCTCATCTTCCGTCAGTGCGCGCTCCAATGTTTGGTTTGTGCCGTTTACGCTCAGCCAAAACATGCTCTGCACAAGGACGCACGGGTCACAGCTACACGAGCATCCCGGTCTGTAGAATTCCAAAGAACACAAACTTTTTTTTTTCTTTTTCTAAAAGGTGTAAACTTGCGTTAGCGAAACAAGTGGAATTCCCGCGCGCGCAACACGTAGTGATTTCCACAAACTGTATGAAGAGAGCGAGAGGGAGCTTATATGTCTGCAGAAGGGAGGAGCAAGCGGACTCCACATAAACATCATAGAAGCAACAGGTCCTTTGTCACAGATACATTTTCTGCATTGTCAGATTGTGAAAAAATAAACAAACATATTCATATATAACACAATATTGCCACTGTTCACACAGTTAAAATCTCATCGCATCTCGAATCATCTGTGTTGTTTTGCTTGAATGTTTATTACCTGCTCTATAGATTTTATTTCGATAACCGTTTGTGGAATTAGTTTATTAGCAAATGTCAGAACTACTAAAAGATTTGTATGTTTTTGTGATTTTAACTAGAATCAGCGCATGTTGTTTTTGTTTTCTTCGATTAAGGAAATTAACTTATAGATCCAGACACACATGCTTGTACAGAACATTATGTGCAATTCAATTGAACTTTTATGGTTAGACTCTTGTAGTGTACATGTGATATGTCACACATTTAGTGTTCAGTCAGGTTAATTCTATTGGAGATGCAATGTTAAATGTGTGGCTTGGGTGCCTGTTTTCAATATTGGAGAGGTATTGGCAGAGGTATTACATTCCCTCAGTGTTTGCCTTCATACCAACACCTCATTGCTATCCCTGGCCTGGTTCACTGTAAATCTGTGTTATGTCCTACACACTGCCAACACAAAAACATTCCAATTGGAAAGCAAATTCAGTTAAACTAAACAAAAGTCATTCTCTTCTTGATTACTTAGGCTACTCGCTGAAGATGATCACGTGACACAATACTTAAAAAAATCGGCTTGGCATGTTCAAGGGTATTAAATAGCATTGTTCTTGTTGATTAGCATTTTCTTAATCTTGGTTGATGCAAGTGTAAAACGTTCTCTCCAGTGATCCATGTTTGTGGAGTCCAGTCATCTCTAGATGAGTTTTAAAATCCAAATGGCTGAGCGATGGCTTACTGGATAAGGATATAGCTGCATTAAATTGTTGTCCTGCTTAATTTTTATTAAAATGTTGTACTCAAAATCTAACAACCCAGTTTTGATCCACTTAAGCAAAATTTAAATATTTGTATTTTTTTTCCCCAAGATTTTCTAAATTAACACTTTGAGCTTTAGTAAAGAGCTCTCTTGTGCACAGATTAGTCCAACATGCTTTCCTTGGATGACATGAAATAATCATAAAGCAAGCAAAGATCATGAACTATGGGTCGACACTGTAGTAAGACTAATGTTGAGTATAACTTGTAAACAAGAGTGAAAAGCAATTCACCTTTTAATGGGAAATAAACATAAAATGACTTCAGTTGAACTGGGGAGAAAGCGCCAGTCAAAATCAAAGCATTTTTCTAACTAATATTTTCATATTTGACAGTATATTCAGATATCACACACTCAAGTTGAAATATTGCAAATCTGTCCTGTTCTTGGCTCTAAGACTGCATTTGATCCCATTCATGAATGGTGATGCAAGGTACATTCAGTCTTTCTGTAACAAGTCTATTGATTCATGCAAGTGCCATAATTACATGATCAATTCACCAGTGCAGCACAAAGCCAAAGCAGCTCTTACTTATGCTTCCATTTAGTTAAGATTTGATGTAGCTGAGCAATTCCTCTTTATCCATTTGGTAGTGACTTTTCTTCCAAATGTCCCGAAGCTTTTGTAAGGTAGCACCTATGTCCTTCCCCGATGTGATACCCATTCTCCTCAGGTCGTGCCCACTGATGGGAAACCGAGGAATGGACCACCGACTCAGCTCATTCAGCAGCCTCTCCTCACCCTGATACTTGAGCAGCTCACACACCTTCATCTGGGTGTCCAACTCTCGACTCTAAAGGCACACAAACACTGGCATTTAAACATTTTCTTCCCACATACTGAGCAATAAAAGCAGCCTATGTGTTAGCTCGATTAAAATAAGCAAAATTAAAACAACAACAAAAAAAAAGATTTGAAAATTATTTCACAGGAAAAATAATATATTAGGTTTCAATTTTATTACCCAATGTACATCATTCACATAACTTAAACAAGAACTAAAGTAAGACATGATGATAATAAGTGATGTGCATTGATTTGCTTTTGACAATTTATTATATGTTGTCTGATATAGGGCTGTAGGCCTTTTATTTTAGCCACTTAATCGGTCAATAGTGTCTATTTGTTGATTTTTTTTTTTTTCCTAATCATTTTATTTACAATATAAAATTTTATATGGGGCATCAGCAGAAAGGAGAAGTGAGTGAATTAGCTGACAATTTTGTATTTTTTGGCATTTATGTAAAGAAAAAGGCTGATAATTCACACGTTGAATCATTCTGTATACATATCAATATATTGTTTCCTAGTGCTTTTTTCCGCATAAATAGTTGCTTTTGCATGAACTAATGACCAAGAATTTCTTTAGTCAAATACATTCCTAGTCTGATATAGCATCATGTCTAAACTGTGTGCATGCAAATGAGTGCTCGTATGGGAAGTCAGATGGGAGTGGGGAGCCTGAGAGGGTTACACTGAGAAAGGTGTTTGTAATTTTTGTATTTTTTATACCATTTGATTGTCTTGGCAAATTGTATTTATTGTTTATTAACCAAATAATCCCATTGCTTTTTAGTGAAATATTAATTGTTAAAAGACCAGTCCCACATTAGCCCAACCTATCAACACTGATTCTTGCATCAGATTATTTAATTGTTAATCTATGTTTGTTGTGTCTGTTCCTATTCAAATAAACATATAAATAACAAATATTAGGTTTTGCTCTTTTTTTTAATCAAGTATTAGCCTTGGGTACCAGCATTTTTGTTTGAGTTTACCCCCAGACTAAATAAAATATGTTTGACCACAATATGACTACACTGTTCTTTTAAATTTTTAGAGAAACAAGAGAAAAACTAGAAAAGGCACTCAGAGAGCGCAGACCTCCGCCAAGGACTACCCCCATTTTTTATATAAATTGCGATAAAATCAGTCTTCTGGATCGGATCCAGATCAGCCTTTGGAATATGAAAGAGGATCCCATTGTCCATCCCTGAGTCAAATTTCATGGGGTTTGGTCAATAATTAACCGAGATATTGAGAAACAAAATTTTTGGCCCCATTTACCACAATGTTAACTAAAATTTCAAAGTGATCCAGAATCCAGGATTTCTTTCAGATCACCCCCAAAATGAAATCAGTTCTTGCTTTTCACATTTCCAACAAATCCTGAAAATTTCATCAAAATCGGTCCATAACTTTTTGAGTTATGTTGCTAACAGACAAACAAACAAACAAACAAACAAACAGACAAACGCCGGCAAAAACATAACCTCCTTGGCGATGTAATAAATGCTATTGATATAACTTTGTCATTTTTATTATGCTTTTCTTATGTAGAGGAGCCCTCTTAAGATGGTAACTGAGTTAATAGCAATTTCACACCCTGTAATTTAGGGGGAAATGATCAAAACTGTCCCTACATATGGCCAGGGCTTTACGATTGTTGCTCTGTTTCTATTAAAATTAGAATCTGCACTGACCAAGTCGATCTCTGATTCCAATACTACACTCCAATACCATGTTCCAGGACTGACCATTTTCATTTGGAACAATAATTCCATAACATTCAAAAAATACATTATAACCTAATAATTAAGGTCACTGCTCTACAAAGAGGGAATCTGTTTTGAAGTATGAAATTATGTTTTCTTTGTACAGAACTGGTCTCTCCAGAGCTTTGCAATTTTTCTCTGGCCTAGGGATGTAATTGAACAACTCGTGTCTCCCACACCCACTCCAAACTCGGCCTTTAATGCTTTTCAAATTGCATTACTGTGGGAGATGACTGTGTGTATAGCCCTAGTAATCATTTGTCTTTCTATTATAGAAACATAAGATAGACAGATGAAGGCAATCTTGAGTTTAAACAAGGCTTATGTAATATACTGCGCTTGTTGTCCAATTATTGCAAAACACATGACCAATAGAGTAATAAAGTTGTGCTTCAATTAATAATTTGAAAAAGTAGTGATAGTAGTAAAATAAGTTTATTAAACCTATTGTTGCCTTTAATTAATAATTCATACAAGTAGTAAAATATTAAATGGTGAGGCCTTTTGACTGAATCTCTTTTGAGTGGAGTAAGCCATGTTATTGTACCCAATTTGTATCAACATTTTAAGGGGGTAGGTGAAAAGGGGGATTTTCAGACCAGTGGTACCGCAAATATCTGACAGTATAGATTACTTAAACATGCATGAATCACTCAAAATACAATTTCAAGTGAGTTAATGATAAAGTGAATCAATTTTAACATACTTAAAAGCTCTTAAATGTTGTTTATGCATAACATATATTTTTTAAACACACTACAACTACATCGGAAGGAATGAAAACTTACGTCAATAATAAAGTCAGTGAAAGGCTTGATGTTGTGTGGTTGCTCGCTGTCTTTCTGGAGCTCATGTCTGTACTTGACCAGGAAAAGAGCCAAAGTCTTCTCCTCTCTAGACACCTTCAATCGGAGGTCCATTTTGTCCACCTCCTCTGAGCTGTGGAAGAGAGCAGCCAGGATCGTCATTGGTTTGGGGGAGAGATGCTTGGAGTTCTCCCACACTCGCAGCATCTCCTCAAGGTCGCCATCTGTTGGTAAACCTTTGGAATACAAAAGGCACCTCAATCGGAATAAGCTCTAAATATGCAAAAATACACAATGACAATTTAATGAATGCATAATTTTGATGATACAATCATTTAACTATTATATCACATCAAAACAGGTGCTGTTGTTCTGTTTACAACCAATTATATATATATATATATATATATATATATATATAATATATATATATATATATATATATATATATATATATATATATATAATAAAATGTAACTATAATATTTAATTGTCGTAAGGAAAAAAAAAATCTGATGAAATATTAACAGTAAATTGAAAACCAGTCCTCTACCACAGAACAAACATATTAAACTTTACTGTTACTTTTAGTGCAGACTTTTTCAGACCCTGCATCAATATGACCTACATAAATAAAGCATAAACCAGCTACACTTGTAACATTTGATATATACACATGGTCTGACATTTAATTCAGCCTGCCCATTATGGTCATATACCTCCCCGACGTACTATTTTGCAATTAAAATGATGAAATTAATAACTAAGGACTGCCCCATATTAATTCATATAATAAATACAGGATGAAAAATGTTGTGCTCTAAAGTGTAGAAATGAAAGGTCTAAAATGCTCCTTAGCAGCACTCTTACCAATGTACTGTGCCAACCCTAGTTTGTAGATGAGCTCCAGTAGAGGCCCTGCGTGGTTGCCAACAACCAGCTTCTTCAGTTCTACCCAGATGCGTTCCCCTGCGATCCCTGCCAGGCCATGCCCATTTTCTTTAATAGCAGCAAGTGTCTCTGGCTCATGATCATCTGGTTGCAAAGCCACTCTACCATAGAACCTGTAGAACAAATGTACTTATGACTTTCCACTACATTTTAGAAAGAGCTCAAAAAATCTTCTCCAAATCAAAAATAGTAAAAGCAATTCAAAACATGTTCTCCAAACCTAAAATAGCGCAATATTCTTAGATAATCCTCTTGGATTCGCTCCTCAGCACTGCCCACAAATCGAACTTTACGGTTCTGCAGGTCTTCATATCCTTTGAAATAGTCATACAGTGTGCCATCAAGACCTGACGAGAACAAAAAAAAAGAAAAAAAAGAAAAATTTTCAATGTAAAAAGAGCTGTTAGCCTTTTGAAACTCTCTTGACATTTGAATACCACATTCATCAACATGCAATATTTGATCCCACAGGTACTATATGTACCTAAAAACATGGAGTTGATAGTGAGGTCTCTGCGCTCTGCATCCTGTTGCCAGTCAGTAGTAAATTCAACCTCTGCATGTCGCCCATCTGTCTGAACATCCACACGCAGCGTAGTCACCTCAAAGTTTTCATTATGTATCTAGAAACAGTCATAGGATTAAAGCATATACTTACAATCTGTGTACAATAAATACATTTTCAATAACACAGTTGATGGAAATCTGCATCCCTTATGTGGGAAGTAAAGAGTAAACAGCAAGCAGTAGTGAGTAAAGAGTTATTTTCATTATAATTTCATTTTTTTCCTGATGAAGCTCTTAAAAACAAAACAAAACAAAGTGTTTGACTATTAAGATGTAATGTAGATATAATTTGACTCTCACTCTGGCAGTGATGGTGCCATGTTTCTCTCCTTTGTTATTGATCATTCGAATGCCCGCTGCCTGAAACATAGATTTCATCTCATCTGGGGTAGCTGTTGTCGCAAAGTCCACATCCTCAGGCCTTTTGCCAGACAGCAGATCCCGTACAGCACCCCCAGCAATTCGGAGCTCATAGTTATTCTTCTGAAATATTTCTGCAAAAGTAAAAACACTACACAAACATTGTGTGATGGTGGGGTGTCATGAAGCAAACATGAAAGTTCAAAGTATTATCACAATATAAAAACAGAAAATAGAAAAAAGGATGGTGCCATTTAGTGGACATATTACGCAAAAAATTTGATTATTTTGTGAAACATATTAAAATTATTAACAAAAACACACACTACAATATGGGGGTTATATGCAAAGGAACTAAAGATCAGTTACCTTTTATCCTATTATTTTGGTTGCATCCAATTGTTGGCTAGTTAAGCCCTACGTAAATAGAATGTCACTCTATTACCTTCCATTTTTCATACCTATCTTTATTCAAGTTAGGAAAATAAGTAAATACGGCCCACTTAATATGTTGAAATCAAATGTCCTAGGCCATGATCTTACCTGCTACAATCCAACCCTTTTGGTCTGAAATGCAACTCTGGATCAATTCCATATTTCGTTCTTTACCAGTCTTGTTAAACAGAGATGTTATAATTTTTGGTGTACTACTACAAAATAAAAAAGAAGAACTCTGTGTAAACTTAATATTATGTCTTGCCAAATTTTATATCCACAAATGTAAAATTCTGAAGTGTCCCCCTAACTCTGCTTGTTTTAAAAACATACTCAGATTATATATAAAAGCTCTGAAACATATGAATGGACCTAAACCTCAAAAAGTGTATTCCTACATGTGTGAAATACCCCTGGACTTTATGAACTCAGGCTGAATGAACTCTACTTCCCTTGCTATTATCCTTTTCTATTCCTAAATGCACTTTTTTTGTATTGTATTGTTTCTGTATAATATATTGTGTTTATGTGCCCTCGTCCCAACATGTAACTGCTGACGACACACAGCCATGTTTGTTATAGCAAATTTATGCACCCAGTTGTGTGTAATTTAAAAAAAAGGCGTCAAAAGGCAAAGCTCTTGATTTACCGGTCAATCTACGTTCCTACCCTCACCTATGGTCATGAGCTTTGGGTAATGACCGAAAGAACAAGATCGCGGATACAAGCGGTTGAAATGAGTTTCCTCCGCAGGGTGGCTGGGCGCTCCCTTAGAGATAGGGTGAGGAGCTCAGTCACACTAGGGAAGCTCGGAGTAGAGCCGCTGCTGCTCCACGTTGAGAGGAGCCGGCTGAGGTGGCTCGGGCATCTGTTTCGGATGCCTCCTGGGCGCCTCCCTCGGGAGGTGTTCCGGGCATGTCCCACTGGGAGGAGGCCCCGGGGAAGAACCAGGACACACTGGAGGGACTATGTCTCTCGGCTGGCCTGGGAACATCTCGGGACCCCCCTGGAAGAGCTGGAGGACGTGTGTGTGGAGAGGGAAGTCTGGGAGGCCCTCCTCAGACTGTTGCCCCCGCGACCCGACCTCAGATAAACGGAAGAAAATGGATGGAAAAAAAAAAAAAAAAGATCTTACCTGCTAGGCCATTCAGTCCTTCAGTGAACACACACTGAAACTCACTGGTTTTCAGTTGCATAGTGAAGAAAGCCCTTCTGTACAACACTGCCCTACCAACCACAAGGGATCGGAGGAATTTACTCCACATCCGAGAACTCAACCTGTTCTTTGCACTTTATCATAAACTAGCACTGTACACTGTTGACATGACTGTACGCCCGCTGGACAGATTAAGAAGTTACTTTCTTCTTAAAAGTAACGCGGATCAGTACGCTCACAGTAGATTGTTATAATAACCAAAATCAATAAATCCAATAACGTCAGTCCATTTCCAAACGTTTTATCTCTCCGATGCCTTTTCCTCAACGTTTCCAGGCAGAAACAGGAAGTGTGAGAGTTGCCATGCGGACACTGGCCAATAGCATGCGGGAACGTCACATTAAGTAGGCGGGATTTTATTGAAAGCACGCTGTCACCAAACTCTCGCGATTTTTGTCTGTTGTTTCCTTTCCGTGTACATTTTGCGGTGTGCAGCGGCGTAGACTGTGCACTTTTCCGCTGTTAGATCAGTAAAAACGGAGCTGCAGAAATGGCCAAAGTTGAGATAACACCGCTCAGGTCCTGGGATGACTTCTTCCCCAGTTCGGACAGATTTGCCAAGCCAGATTTTAATGACATGGCGAGATGGAACAACCGAGTAGTTAGCAACCTCCTTTATTATCAGACTAACTATTTGCTGCTTGCTGTAGCTGTGTTTCTGATTGTCGGGTAAGTTCTAACCTGCAGACACATAGTCCTTTGCAGTGTTGGGAAGGTTACTTTTAAAATGTATTCCCCTACAGATTACAGATTACATACACCAAAATGTAGTTTGTAACGTAATCCATTAAATTACCTAAAGTGAGTAACGTAATCTGAATACTTTGGATTACTTGATTTTCTGTAACAAAGCAAAGACTCTGAAATCTTCACATGATATTTTTTTATCTGCTAAAAGAAAATAAAAAGCCTAGACTTTATTTAACCGTATTAAAAATATTATTGATAGAAGAGGAGGAGACGGCATGGTTTCGTTCTGTTAAATTAAATTTAAATTTAGTCCTGGTTTAGATCTAGTTTAGATCTGGTTTTAGTCCTGGTTTAGACCTGGTTTTAGTCCTGGTTTAGTCCTGGTTTAGACCTGGTTTAGATCTAGTTTAGACCTGGGTTTAGTTTTGGTTTAGACCTGGTTTAGTCCTGGTTTAGACTTGGTTTTAGTCCTGGTTTAGTGTCCGACAATGAGTGGAATTACCACACACAAAAAAAAAAAAAAATATATATATATATATATATATATATATATAGCCCAAAATGTGAAAACAGGAAAATACCTCTGTGTAATCCATTTATTTCAACAAAGTAACTGTAATCTAATTACCACCCACTGAAACAGTAACTGTAACTGAATACAGTTACTCATCATTTGTTCTCTGAATACGTAACTGTGGTACATGTAATCTGTTACTCCCCAACAGTGGTCCTTTGTTGTATTTGTTCAAAGGGTGGGGCTGTTCCTGCATTTGGTTTGTAATTTCTGTGATACGGTTTGAAGAAAGCTAATTAGATTTCATGGTGCAACTACAGTAGAATGCAGTTAACACCTTGCTTAGGCCTGTGACAAACTCAGCATAATTGTTCGCCTTCTTAGCATGTATTAAAACAAACATGAGGTGTGTGTTGAAATGTTGGCCCTATGGTGGTTTGACATTGCCTTCATTCATTACACTGTCAGGCCTCCTAATAATGGATGAGCATACACTAACTATACATTAGCAGACTTTGTTGCCATATATATTCTGACAGTATGAGTTGTCACATTTAAAACTGGGATAGTTTTTCACCAGCCATCCAGATCTCAGTTCTTTTCTCCAAACACCCATCCAAAACAGTCCAAACCTGCTGCTTTTTCTATACTTAGCATTTGTCATAATGAACACATGAATAAAAGTTGTCGTATTATACACTGGACTTAATCTCTCATTCAGTGTTTTTTTCTATGTTTACTATTTTCTACATTTGATGTACATACAGAATACATCAAATATATGAAATGAGATGTAGGAAACTATGTAGGAAAGAAAAAAGGTTAAATATCTTATGTTTTTATATTGTTTAACTCTTTTCTTTACTAAATAATTCCATATATCTACTGTCATTTGTATGCCTTTAAAATCTTGAAATTAGTAAGAAAAAAGAAACAAAACTTGGAATGAGAGGGGGTGTCCAAACTTTTGACTGGTCATGTATGTTTCAACAACACCAGTCAAAATTTTGGACGTACTCTCTCATGCTACTTTTTACATTTAAGATATATACAGAAGACCTCACATATATATATATATATATATATATATATATATATATATATATATATATATATATACATATATATATATATATATATATATGGAGAATTATTTAGTAAAGAAAAAAAAGTAAAATTGTTGTTGGCTAATTTGATGATTTGATTATAAAATAAAAATGAAAATAATGGTTATTTAACTTATCTTTTTTCTCTGTATGTATAATTCCATACATCTTACTTCACATATTTAATCTATTCTGTATGTATATTAAATAATAAATAATGTATAGTAATTTAAAAAAACATATAGGGGGAAAAAAACTGTGAATGAGAGGGTAAGTCCAAACTTTTGACTGGTAGTATATATAAAAATGTCTTCTCAAATACCACATGAGTGTAAGAGTACTGAGTATCTTCACCAAAATGGAGAGACTGTAGGACTCCTCTCTGTCCACTTGATGGAACCAGTGACCAAGAGCTCTGATACAGTTTGTCTGCGTTTGATATAATCTTTGCAGGTTCCTGAACCCTCTGGGCATGTTCACTGCCATGGCTGTGGTCACTGCAGTATTCCTGGGCTCACTTTGGGTTGGAGACAATAAAGTGGCCATTAATAACTTCAAGAGGCAGAATCCCACCCTTTTTGTGATCCTGGTCATGGTGGCAAGCTACTTTGTCATATCTCTGCTGGGGAGTGTCACTGTGTTCATGATGGCCATCACCTTGCCTCTTATATGTGAGTTTGATACGTCAAGAATGGTACAGTTCACGTGGACCACCTTTTGATTTTTACCACAAAATATGATCCAATTATGTAGTTGATGATTATATAGGCCTGAAACCATAATTACGTTATTGATTCATTGTTCAATATATGGTCGATGTTAGAATTATTTTGAGGGTCAGTATTTTTATAGGTTTTCTTTGTACTAGTGTGGAACCATTTGTTATTTTTCTGTACTATGATAAGCTGTACAGGGTTGAATACGTATCTTCTATGACTCATTAAGTTTCTAATTTATTAATTGGAGCTCATGTTCATTAACAATACTGTGCATATAGAATAATTTGGGGGGAAATCGTGCTTTACTGTTACTGTGTACCAGTAGCATAATGCCATTCCATATATTGTCTATACGTTCTTCAGCAATATATCGCACAGGTGTATCATAATGATAGCAAGCTAACATACATGAACATTCACTCAGACACACCCTCTTTTCTGCAGTCAAAGTAAACCAAAAACTAAACTCTGCCCACACCAGACCGTGGAATATTTTGGCTTAACTCAGAAAAGGTCCAGAGTCATATGTCAATGTTATATTTTCTCATATTAATAAAAACGTGTTCAGGTGTATTCTTAAAAAAATATTTTAATTGTTGTGATCACCCATGTTTTTAAATCTATAACTGCCTATAAATTGCGCTGTTCAAAATAAAGTTAAGTTATTTCATTGATTCAGTTGATCATTAAAAGGAATATTGTTATTATATATTTTTTAAATATCATAATGTTTCATTTGCACATGCAGTTTTGTCTGCATTTTTTCATTTGAACCTGAACTGGAAAGATGGCTCCTTATTTAATATAAATAATGCTTGTTGTACATTTAGTTTTAATTAATTAATTAATCAATGCATTTATATAGCGCCTTTCAAGACACCCGTAGAGCTTTACAGAGCTTTATTCATTCACTCCACACTCAGTGGTGGTAAACCACTATTGAAGCCACAGATGACTGACAGAAGCAAGGCGGCCCCTCTGACCACACCAACATTCACACGCACTCCACTTTCTTACTAGGCAATGTGGGTGCTCTGGCGCCCCACTGTGGCACCTCAAATTCCCAGTGGTCTCCTATCCAAGTACTCTAGCCAGGCCCGGCCTTGCTTGGCTTCTGAGTTCTGACGAGATCAGGCTTTAACAGTTTAAGTAGTTGATTACTCTCCTTTTTGTCTCCTTCTCTCTGCTTTCAGTAATTACCATCCATGCTTCTTTTCGTCTGCGTAACATGAAAAATAAACTGGAGAACAAAATGGAGTGCGCAGGACTGAAGAGGTCACCCATGGGACTGCTGCTGGACGCCCTGGGCCAGCAGGAGGAGAACATTCAGAAGATCCAGAACTTTTTGGAGGCTAAGCTCAAACAGTGACTGAATGGGACACAGAACATGTCTATTGTTATAGCGTAACTAAAACTTTGTGGAATTAATCATGTTTACCTTCGACACAGAAGCAAACCAAACAGTACTGCTGTAATGTAAAAAGCTCCATCTTCACCTCAGGGTACAGAAGGTGTCACTCCTCCCAAAACTTGTCCGGGCACTTTCAGACGCAAAGCTGCAATGGGCTATGCATTTCTGTGCAGAGAAAGTTTCCTATCAATTTACTTACTTTATTTAGTCTCTGAACCAGCTGTCACTTCTGTCTATTTACTGAATACACACAGTCAGCAGAGATCACTGCCAAGATGCTGCAAAAGACAAACGGTTTTATAGAAGAGATTCTCTGTTTTTTTTTTTTGTTCCTTCTAGTACTGCTCCATTGTACATGTAGTAGGACTAGTCGCACTCTGATTAGTCTTATTTTTTTATTCCGGATGCCCTTTCTGTTGGAACTAGCCACATTAAGGTGACGATGGTGGGCAATGTGCAATGAAGGTCTTATCCAGGACATCACAGGAGAATGCTTAACCTGTATGTACATGAACTATTTTCCTAAAGTTACAAAGAGTGTTTTGAGAATAACCAAAATCTTGGAGTTGTTTTAATAAAAAAGTAAACCCATCAATAAAATAAGATATTTTAAGTGGTGTGCTGTGTATTCTACCACTTCTCCACTAGGGGATGCAATGTTTTTAGACTGTGACCTCAAACACATGCCAAGTGAAGTCAGTTTATGTGTTTACTGTTTGTAAACACCAGCCACATATTCACATATAAAAGAGTAAGTGTTTTCCTGCTGTTAACCAGGGTCCCTCTTTGTTAAATGACGAGTAAACCTGCTGACATGACAACAGAGTGACCCAATGACCCACATGCATTGTTTTGCATTTGCATTTTTTGCTTTTTTTGTGATCCTTGTTGGAAAAGAAGATGATCACTTTCTAAATCTAAGTCATAAGAGAACGTAGTACTTCTTACTCTTTACACAAAGTAATTCACTAACCAGAACGTTAGTGAATTGATCCTTGCCTTGTCACATACATCCCTTGTGTCATCAGGCAAGAAACTTTACCACGTTTGTGTGAAAGGTTGGAGGTCATAAAGTTTATTGTCTGTATGAATCGGCCCCATGGCTGCAGCACCTACAGTACCAGCACAGGGTGTAATTGAGAGTGAATGAATAAAATATAATGTATTCATTATAAAGTAAATAATATATAATATAATAATAATAATAATAATAATAATAATAATAATAATTAATATAATTTATTAAAGAATATTGCAAAAGTCAATATTGTCTTTTGCAAAATTGCATAAACATCCTTTTCCTCCTGCCATTTATCTTAGCTGGAGGTGCTCTCAATTGGTACATGTTCACTCAACAAAATAAATACTATCTTACCTTTAACCACTTATGTACTTCAAAGTAAAAAGCTGAAGTAGCAATCTTCATAATACTGACTGAAACCTTGTTTATTAAGAACTGTACATTGGGCTTTCTAGTACAGAAGATGCTCTGACTCCCCTTTACCCATTGTGTGCTTTGTGGATATTAAAGTTAAAAGCAGAGTAAGGTCCTGACCCATGTGCGCGTCCTGACAGCGGCCCCCGGCTGATTGATAGTCTTACTTTGTACTTCTTGTACTATTTGTACTTTGTTCATTGAGTGCAGAGCTAATCAATGATGAGCAGTAGATTACAGACAAGAGCTCAGAGCGTCTCCCACCTCTGGACCTGGGGAAAGTTCTGAGTCAGCCATGAGCTTTCTCTTTTGAATTCCATTAAAATTGACTGCAGATAACCAGAATCCATCTGGAACTGTGCTCTTCAGTAGACTGAAGTAAACAATAGGGAGCAGTGGGTGGGAAATAAGAATGTTGCTGATAAAATGGAAAACAGTAGTCAGAAATGTGTCAGTGTAACTGGGTTGGCCAGCTAGTTTACTTTGGTTATCTTAGTTATCTTTACTTTAGTATCCTTATTCTATCAAACTCAAGAAGTAATAGCCATGACTTAATAAATTAGTACTTGGTCCAACTGTATTTCAGTTGGGCAATCAAGAGAAAACCTAAACAAAACAAAAAAAAAAGAAAAACTCCCAATGTTCTGTCACATTATGTTGTTAGAATGTTAATCATTCAACAAGAAAAGTCAACACCAGTGATATAAAACCTTATGGAGCTGATACCTCACAGCATTGTCCTAATCAGGAATGCCTGGTATTTGTGTGTACTCCCTCCGCTGACCCCCACATGGTGAGGTGTAATAGTACTCCAATGACTGGAGGGTTGAAATCTACTTTACTCCAAAGACTTATACCCTGGTACAATGCCTCCTCCTCTCCAACCACAATTATCAGCAAGGGGGCGTACCACTGTCTGCTCATGTAAAATCTTGTCTGGCACAGTGGAAAGTTATGTGTTACAGCTGCCCCCAGGCACTTGCCAACACGTGTGGCAGCCGCAGCTCAGCAGGTGACCGTCTGCTGTTTACTGTGGAATACAAGTGTAATGGAGTGCCTATCAACAGCACACACAGACTAGTCATTAAATAGCCACAATTATCATACAGTAGACTGGTATTATGAGAGGTAGCACTGATGTGAGCAAGTGAGTTTGACACAAAAACAACTGTCTGGAATCAGTATCGAATGAGTGGTTACAAACTTTAATAGCAAAGTAGTAACTGTTTTCTATGACAAGCTGCCTACTTGTTTGCTACAGAGAGGAAATAAGACATATACATGAAAACATGGTCTAAGGAAATGTTCCTTTTCTATAGCGGTGATGATAATCTGTGGGTGGTAATTAATGATAAGATGTTACTTGGAGTAGAGCTGCTGCTCTTCAACATGGATGAGTATTCTGTTTTAGAAACCTTCTTTGAGACCTAGACTATAAAATCCACCTTGTTGACCTGTATAAGACCTGTGCATTCAGAAGAGCAGAGAGAAGTGATGTCCTTGCTGAGTGTGGTGCTCCTAAATGCTGGCGAAAAATTTAAAAATCAGCAACTCGTGCTGTGCAGAATAAGTTAACTGCAATGGGGCCAGTGATGTGTTTTAAACCAGCAATAACATCAAATTTACTTTTTACAACAGTTAACAGTTGTTAAATAATTTTCTTTAAATTCGTTCACTTTTCTTCTCATCCAACATCAGAGTACTTCTGTAACACTCTTCTGAAAGTACATTAAGCGTTATGTCCCATAGACAGGCCCACCCTGGCCTGCACCCCCTCCCTTCTGTTGGCTCAAAGCGGATTGTCTTTTGCTCTGCCTAAGCTGGTTAACTCCTCACAGGTCCAACAGCCTGTCTGTGAGTTCTTCAGAAGACCCTGGTTTAATGACGACCCTGAGAGACCTTTGCCAACTGCTCTAGTCTCACGTGAGCTCCTTGACCTCCTTAACAGGTTGTCCCTCTCACACAGAGTATGTGTGCCCCCCACCAAGAGGTAGCAGTGCATGTGACCTGTCACTTAATGCTATGGGCCGCTTCATAACTGGCCATAACCCGGGTGAAAGGTGCTGAGCGATGGGAAGTCACTTGCAGTGTGATTTAGGGACATTCTTGACCTGAAATGAGACACTTCCAGTATGTGCTGGGAAAGGTATCAAGTGTTGTTTACTTGTAAACTGACTTTTGATTTTACTGATCAACATCAGGAATGTGTTTATTATTCTTCTGATTCTAATCATACCAAGAAATTTTGAAATGAAAGTATTGGTTGCTGTCAGTACAGTAGGTGTGCCTGCATGCAGGTCCACAACATTTTTTGATTTTTATAAGATTTTCTTTTTAATGATTTAAAGATATTTTTGGTGTTTGAATCGAATACTATTTGAATTATTAAGATCAACCAGAATTGTGTGCAGCAGTTTGAAAAGGCTAAGGCTATTCAAAAGAAAGAACTTATTAGAATAACTCTAAAGAGCAGGAAAAAACATTTGCAGAGTTACATAATGGGATATAAATACAATTATAATAGCAATGGATTCAATATTATTCTATTTGAAAATTAACCCCATGGCTTTCTGTAGAATATACTTTATAAAAAACCTGGCAAAAGAACTAGTAGTTGCCAAGATGTTTCTCCATGGAAGACTACCTATTTACTTAGCTTAGTCCAGGTGAGGACCTTTATGGGCAGGGTACATATTAAGCAAAGAAAACAGTACACTCGTCTGAAGCTTGTTCTTCGGGCTGAGCATAGAAGAACTCTTTGTTTATGTAGTGGAGTGTCATCTGGATGTGCCTCTCTACAGCTGGTGTGAAGGAGCTACAAGATGGAGCAGGACAGCTGGATCCAAAACAGCCCTCTCCCCCTCAGGCCTGGGCTCTAAGCGTGTGTGTATGAGACCCCCGTGTAGCCACGATACTGGCGAGGGGCGCTGTAAGACAAAACAGGATCACGTCGGGGTAGAGAACACTGTGGGGTAACGCTGGGAAAATGAGACGAAGGGTTAAAATGTAATCCACAAAAGGGGGATGAGACCAAAAGGAGACGTATATTACATGGAAGCCCACAGGGAGGTTATACAGGCGCCATAAACACCAGTGTGTCATTCATGGGAAAGAAGAGCTTATTACGGCCGCAGTGGGTGTGACACCTTCTAAAGACTGGTTAGGTCGCTTAGTGGCTCCAGGAAATAGAAAACTTGTCTGTCAACAGAGAGCTGAGAAAACATAGCAAAGCCCTCACATGGACTGCCACTACACGAAACTGATACAATGGCAATTATGTATTAGTAAGCGGTCAATGGGATTAATCATGATTTAGTTTTGTTTTAAAAAGGGAGTGGAGTTTTTATATTGTCACTAATTATTATTTCACTGAATGTCTGACTGAATGGATTTATCTTAGTTTACTTTGTGAACTTTAAGTGTTGATTTAAAATTTGTAGTTCTGCTTTATCAATATGTTATCAAGTTAAGTATGTATGCGGAAAATAAGTAGGATCGTACATGTGGGATAACAAAAGTAGTTGCAGGTGCTGTGGAATTTAAATCAGAATGGGAAGTTTTGGATATATTTGGTCTGATAATGTTGTTAAAAATAATCTTGATATCTTGCCTTATTATCACTGTCAGAGTCTGGAATTAAAATGGCTAAAATATAGAAAAATAAACCTTTAAGGCGGTTAATATATTTATATATGGGATCAACTTGTTATGTTAGTATGAGACATCAACAGCCAAACCCAATTTTGCGTGTAATAATAACTGTCCAAAGTGATACAAACAGATTTTTTTAATCTGAACAAATTCCATTATACAAATGACTAAGAACCAGCTTAACAACATTGTTACTATATATTACATGCTTTTCAAGTGACATAAAAAAACGCTCTTAAAAATTACAAAAACAGTGTATTTACAACATCAACATTTACAAACAGTGTCTTTCTCTTAAGAGCCAGTGGTAGCACCAGACCATGATTTCCAGCATGGATGAAGGAGCCATTCAAACAGACTGGGCCCATCGTCCTGCAGTGAGTTGTGGCAGTGACTGTGACAAATGTCTGTAATACTCAGGTGGTCAGAGAATTTGGCTCAAATCAAAGTACTGACAGTAGCAAACACAAAACTTTTCCAGTCCCAGTGAATGAGGGTTCAGTCAGTTAACAATAACCCTGCAGGTA